CCCTGCTGCTGCTGCTTGATTCCTGCCATGTTTTTATAGCAGGGCCTCGGGGGCTGTAGACATACAGCTCTCCCCCGCCTCCACCCCAGCAGCACTACACAAGGAGGCCCTGCTGCTCAGCAAACTCAGCACACAGATGCTATGAAACACATAACCCTCATGCACCCAGGGACAGCACCCTGTGACTTTGCGCCAGGGTCCACATGCAGTGCAGCACATCGGTGACTGGCGGAAATGAACTGGACCTGCTGCAGCATAGCCGAGGAAACTCATTCACTTTGTAATAGCCCAAGTGCCACTCTATGGGACTGTGCACCACACCCAGCAGGTGGGGGTTACACAGGCAGCCCCCTACATAGAGCCACTGTGGGGGGAGGGAGAAGGAAAAAGGAACAGTTTACCTGTAAGTGGCCTCAGCATAGTTCAAACCTCCCCCCAAAGGGAGATCAGGCAGGTTACAACTAGGGATGCAAAATCCTGGTTAAATTGGTGAACCAGTTGAACATGAAGTTTAACCAGTTAAGGGAGGGGGTTTTCCAGCCCAGCTAGGCTGAAGCACCACCCCCAAGTGGCCAGGCTGGAAAGCAGTGGCTGCTCCAGCCCAGTGGGAGTAGCACCTGTCTGCTCCCCCCCTCCCCAAATGGACCCTCAGTCTTCAATGGGCCCCAAGGGCCTGAAGTAATTCCCTGCCCACAGCTGCTCCACCGCCACCAGTTAACCTTCCACAGCCCTAGTTAGTTTAAAGGAATAAACTGGGGGTTGCAAGTCAGTGGGGGGGGGAGGGGAACATGCTCAGAAGCCTGAGAACACAGACTAAGCTGGGTCCCTTCAAACAAAATGGCATTTGGCTCCAATCAAGCCAAGGCACATGTGGCCAGTGTTCCTGGCTCTGAAATGGGGTGGATCCCAGACAGCACAGGCAGAAGAGGCTTTAGAGGGCACACAGCAGCTCACGAGCCCCCATAGTGATGCCACGGTACAGAGGGCGACTAGATTTTAAAAACAGTCAGACTGGGTCAGACCAAAGGGTGATCTAGTCCAGTATCCTGTCTTCCCATAGAGCCTGGTGCCCCAGAGGGAATGACCAGAACAGGTAATTAAATGATCCACTCCCTGTTGCTCATTCCCAGCTTCTAGCAATGCAAGAGCAGAGACATCAGTCACGCCCAAGAGCCATTGATGGATCTATCCTCCAATTTATCTAGTTTTTTGAACCTGCTTAATCTTAGCTACATCCTCTGGCAAGGAGTTCCACGGGTTGTCTGGGTATTGGGTAAAGAAATGCTTCCTTTTGTTTGTTTTAAGCCTGCTGCTGTCTATTAGCTTCACTTGGTTCTTATTTTATGGGAAGAATTACACATTTCCTCCAGAGCCATCACAATTTCATAGTCCTCCGTCATATCCTCCCTTTAGTCATCTCTTTTTGGAAAAGAGTCCCCGTCTTAATTTGCCTCTCCTAGGCTGTGAAGGGTTCTCTCCAACCAAGCCTCCACTGTGGGAAAGGAGTAAATGGAAAATGAATTTTTCTAAAGGGAAAATGTGGTATTGGGACAGAGAATGCAACACTAGAGTGTTTATACAGAGAAGGTTTTATTTCCCAGTCTAGGCACTTTCAGGAAATGTCTAAAGCTGGCAGTGGGGATCTAAAAAAATTTTAAAATACTGATTAAGATTAAAATCTTCAGCTGGTCACCAAGCTGTTCCTTCCCATTGCAAGAGCCTCACCAATGACCTGTTGAGACAGTCAGGCATTAGCAGAGAAGGCAGGTGAGAGAAGGCACTACATTTACAGAGAGCAGGTGCTGCCCTAATGCCATGGAGAGAGGCTGGCCATGTTTTCAGTGAAGCCAAGGCATGAAATAGAAGGGCTGAGCCACTGGCTATCCCAGAATGGTTAGAGCCATGCACCCTGGCCTGGAGGCAGTTACGCTGCCGGTACTTGAGAAGGGGAATAGACTTCTAGGCATCTGTCCCAGTACTGCATCTACATGCCCCAATGCACAGGGCAGACCCAGCACAAGCTGTTTGGGGCAACTTGACCAGTTTCTGAAACTGGACCTATCCCCACCTCCCTAGATGGTCCCAGTCTCACTCCACCTCGTACCTTTTCTCCAGGGACCCTTTGAAGCCCTCGCTGCTGCGGAGGTGCTCTTGTCCTGCATTTGCTGGTTTCCACGCCAGCTGGTCTCACCAAGACTGGACCACGGGAGGGAAACAGAGGCGAGTTAGCAGACACCAGGAGGAGGAGTTAGTCTGACATGGGCCAGGCTCTCTGCATATGGTATCATGTGACCCTGCCTCCATCAGCCCCCTGCCCCATACAGACAAGCCTCCTCAGCATGCCTCAGCCCCTAGCCCTGGTTACCCAGTGCTGAAAGGCCAGCTGTAAATAAGGCCACATAGCAATCCACATGGCATCTACCAGCTATGTGTGCTGAGGGTTCCCCTTCAGGAGTCCTGACAGGGTGTCTCCATTCTGTTCCCAGGGCAGTGGCAATTCCTGACAGGGTGTCTCCATTCTGTTCCATGCCAGCAAGCATGGGATTGTCTCCCCACAGTACTCCTAGAACGCAAGCCTTGTTCCATGGGCAGTGGCAACGCTGTGGCTGCAGGTCACCATGGGCCTTCGCAGTGCTCCCTCCCACCTTGGCCCACAGCAACTGTTCAGGCACCTTCCTGGATTCTACTCCTGGCCAGGAGGGTCTGTGGAAAGCATGCACACGGGTCATGGGCAGGTTGTTTGCCCAGCATGGCAGGGTCCTGCTCCCCAGGTACAGTCAGTCAGAAAGCACATTCCCATGGGCTGGTGTAAGTAACTCTTGCCTGCTGCCATGGGGCACTAGCTGCATGTAGTGGGGGCAGGAGTGGGACATGACCCACTCAGAGCAAGGCTGTGCCACCCTGAATCCAAGAGCTGGATGCTTCTGCATAGCCAGTCTCTTCTTGGAACTCAGCCTGCATTCCCTTTGAAGGTGCTTTGCCCCACACCTCTGGTGCTCAGCTAGCCGCACTGGTTCCCCAACAAGCATGGCTTCCATTCATGATACCATCTACATGTTTCGTTAGTCTATAATGAACTTTCATGGGCACAGCCCACTTCTTTAAGTGACTGGAGTTATGAATTGGGGATATGAACTCAAAATGGGAGAGGGGAGAGAAAGCATCATTAAGTATCTGGAGAATGGGTACTTAAACCTAAGCAGATAAAAGTCAATAGATGCCAGTGCACAGCTCTTGGCCCCAGCAGAGCCAGGAGGTTCATGCCAGGGAGGGAGAGGAGTGGAGCTGGCCTGTGGCCCTCTTCCCAAGAGGGTGTGAAGTGGTTACCAGAGAGTGCAAGGAGAGTCTTACCTTGGACTTGGGCTTAGCGTGAAGTTTGCCTGGGAGCCAAGAACAAAAGGAGAGGTGGCAGCAGCGTCTGCATCTGAGGAGACAGCTTAGCGTGAGGGCCCGATGAAAGGTTCTGGGCAGGTTTCACACCCCAAGACTCTATCCTCAGGTCACACGATCAGGGGCCGTGGCCCTGCTCCCTCCCCAGCTCCCTCACTTGCAACAGCTCCTGCTCCAAAGCTCTTAGCTGCCTTCCAGCAGGAAGGTGGAACTAGGGTGTTCTGGGGGCCCTAAGCTATTGCTGGAGGCTGCGCGTGAACTTGGAAGTTGTCCTGTCCAACAGTGACCAGTGCCAGGTGCTCCAGACAGGATACTGGCTGGAGAGGCCAGTGGTCTGACCCAGGATTGCTGCTCTCACTGCGCTAGCCCTGATCCTGCTGCCCTCCCAATTAAAGGGGCATGGGCATGCAGGGCAGCCTCAATGCCAGGGAGGCATGCAGGGGCCTTCTCTCGCCAGTGCTCCCAAATGGCAGCACTCTGAATAGCTTCCTGCCCAGGCCTGCGAGGTTTCATACCTGCCCAACAGTTACACGAGCAAGCGAGGGGGCTGCAGCCTGGCAGAGGGTCAGAGCAGGACGCAGGTTTGTTGGCAAGACTCTTCCTGACCACAAGCCTGACCCCTCAGGAGGCATTTGCACAGCAGCACCAGTCCCTGTCCACAGTAATGGTGTTAAGGAGTGGGTATTTGGCTAATAGCCTAGGCACTACGAATTATATTGACTATACCATGGGGTTCCAAACTGGGAGCATGCCCCCCAGGTGTGAAGAAATTCCAGGGCGGGGGAGGAGGGGGAAATGAGGCAACCCAGCCCCTCCCCCCCCAGTTTGGCTACAAGAAGTTTGGGAACCACTGTCGTTACACGATTCGTCAATGGGGTGGGACCCTCTGGGACAGCTGTGACTGCAGTTTTAAAGTGTAGTAAGAGCCAGGCAGCTGTTGCTACATTTAAAGTGCAGAGCCGCAGTGATCCTGGAGCCGGCGCAAGCCAGGACTGTTCCATCCCAGCTTGCGCTGGGTCCAGCACCCCGTTTGCAGAGGCCCAGGCTGGCCACAGCAGCCCCTGTCGGGGTGGGGGGCGAGCAGCTCCCCACTGGGACTCCTGCAGACAGGGGCTACTGCCAGAGCAGCCTCTGCCCAGTGAGGCTCGGCCTGCCTCAGGCAGAGACTGCTTCACGGCAGCCTCCCCTCCCTGCTTCCCCACTGCTGCTGCCTTCAACCTGAGTCCGCCATTGTCCTGGGCCTCACTTCCGTCTCCTCCACCTTTCACCCATCCCACTCTCGTGAGGTCTCGCTGGGCCGAGTGGAGGGGGGGGTGCTGTGCTGTGGGGTGAGCGGTAGCTGGGAATGAAGGGCCGATGGTAGGGGTGGGCTGCCATTGGGAGACACCAGGCATGCCCCAGGCCAGCAGGGAGAGCTAGCCGACAGAGTGATGCCATTTTGGGGTACCTGGTAAGTTGGCCGTGGACCACACTGGTTTAGAACAAGTCAGCCACCTACTCCTCCTGATGGACCATTTGAGATGATGAAATGGCTTGACACCTCTCCAGTGATAGGGAGAAAGGAGGGGAGGAGAGGGAGCCCGTTAGTGGGTTAGAGATTAGGTTATACTAAGAAGAGCCCTACCAAATGGATGGGCCAGTTTGGTAAATTTCAGTCATAAGATTTTTAAAGTGTCTGGTTTGAGATATTTAAATCTGAAGTTTGTGTTACTGGAGGGGTCCTGACCCCCTCCCCCAAAATAGACTGTAAAGAGGGCTGCAGTTCTGCTACCCTTACTTCGGCACTGCCGCCTGTCGAGCTGGGATATTAGTCAGCAGCTGCCATTCTCCAGGTGCCCAGTGCCAAGAACCGCAGCACAGAAGTAAGAAGGACATGGGAATGGTGCTGCCTTCAGCGCGGGGGCCCCTGACCAACGTTACAATCATCTTGCTCCAGTTGCTCAAGAAGCAGCAAGAAAGGTGGCAATACTGTGACCCTTGAACTAACCTTGTAATCCTCTTGGGTCAGGACCCCCCAATCTGAGAAATGCAGGTCCCCCCTTGAAATCTGTATTGTAGAGGGGCAAAGCACACAAGAGGCCAGATTTCATGGGAGGACACCAGCTGTTATGCTCCATGACATTTTGCATGGCTGTGAATTTGGGAGGGCTGAGCCATAAATCTAGGGTTTCTTCAGTTCATGATTCAGTGTCTAGCAAGTTGGAATGTAAGCACCCAGGTACTTCTCTTGAAGGGCTTGTTGAGGTTTCCTTTGAGGATGGGGACTGAGAGGCCAGATTCACCCTGAGAGGTCAGGGTGAAAGTTGTTCACCTGCAGACAGGGGCTTTCCATTTTCCTGAGCATTCATTCAGGAGCACAGTGATGGTCTGTCATTTCACCCTCATCGTTTTTGGGGCATTTTGCAATGGTGTGGGTTCCAGACAATGTTCCTGCTAAAGTTCGTTCCACAAGTGCAGCACTGGCATGCACATCCGCAGAAAGAATTCCGTTCATAGGTATTAATCTCCAGTTTAAAAATATATTAAAGAAAAATATTAAAGCCAAAGGATCACAAACATCTTAAGGAGTGGGCCTTGTTAACTTAATCTGAAATGAAATAAGAGGGTATGTACTCCAAGGGCAGTGTAATTTTTATCATCCTTTCTAAGGACCCAAGCTAGTACTTGCAAAAATGTGGCACATGGAAGCTATATAAATAAAAGCAGACATGGCTAATAAGTGAAAGCATAAAAATATGCACCAGGGTCCCAATTTAATAATCTACTGCCATAGACAGCTACATCTTCAGGGCAAATGGCTCAAAAAACACCCAGTCTTCCAAAACACTAGAATGCTACAGACTTTTGCAGTCCACAGAACTATACTTCCAGGCATATCATCTGTATCCATAGCTGGGTTTCAAGGACTCGTAGATTTGTGGAGTACAATTAGAAATAGTCATGCTCTCCTCACAAATGTAAGTTCGATACTGAATGAGTAAGAGAGGTTTCCTGAGGCTTATACAATTCCTATGGGATGTCAGCTCTTAAATTAAGACTTCACACACAGAGCAGGAAAAATAAGTCAAGCCACAGAGACAGCAAACAAAGCCACAAACGACCCTGGAAATGTTACGGGAAGTAAAACATCAAGTGGGTGGATGTTGTGGGTATTTTAAATGAGTGTTTTGGGAAAGGCACAGCAGGAGTCCCCCCTCCAGGTGTACAGCCCTGTAGCAAAAGGCCAATTTCTGCAGGTTTCACACTGGAATGTGTGTCAGTCACCGACTCCACAAACAAACCCTCTGAGTAGGCTCATTACATTTTGTACAAGATCTGGCCCTCAGTAAATGGAGCACCGTTAACCTCTGGCTTTGGAGTATGCAGAGAGACCTTTGCATCAAAAAGCTTGCAGATAAAAACTTCATCCTACAAACCACCTACCACCAAAGTGCTTGCTACTTATCAGTCAAATGGGCAGTGGCGGATTTAGGGCAGGACAAGCGGGGTGGCTGCCTCAGGCCCCACGCTTCCCGAGGCCCCACGCACGTGCCGTGTCAAAGGGGGGGGCACCCCTGTGAAATTTTGCTGCCCTGGGCCCCGCGGCGCTCTCATCCACCCCTGCAAATGGGATTACTCTGAACAGCCACAACTATCCCAGATGGCAAAGATCTGGCCTTAATGGTTTGATACCTTGCCCCAACAAATTCTGAAACTTTGAAATCACTGTCTAGAAGCCGGGCTCCAGGTCACCAGCAGCCTTGGTGCTGGGATATCCTAGGTTACAAATTCAAAGGAATGCAACTCTAAAGCTGTAATATAGTACATGTTCCCAGACTAGGGGGGCCATCCAGGTACCTCAAGAATAGATGACTAGGGATGTTAAATGGCATTTATCAGCTAATCGACTAACCTCTGCCTCCCTGCCCCAACCCTCTGCCAAGGAGGTAGTGCTGTGGGGGACCTGGCTTTTAAGCTGGCTCCTGCCTCTTGCTGCCTCTGATAGACGCAGGAGGGGGGAGAGCAACTAATCAAGTCACTAAGTGACTGATAAGTATGCTTATTGGATAGTCAACTAGTTGCTTACATCCCTATAGAGGACAGTCCTATTTAGTGCATAGGGAGCCCAGGGCAGGGGGATATGGAAAGGGCAAGGGTGACATTTTGGGAGAGCGGACTGCTGCTCTCTGCTCCCCCAACTCTCAGGGAGCAAGGGCAAAGTTCCCAGCCTGGTGACATTTTGGGAGAGCGGACTGCTGCGCTCTGCTCCCCCAACTTCCAGGGAGCAAGGGCAAAGTTCCCAGACGGCTGCATTCTCCTCTGCCCTCCCCTCTGCTGCAGGAAGCAAGAGGAAGGCACAAGCTGAGCACTTTCCCTTAGTCAGGGGAAGAGGAAGATAACCCAGTGTAACATGAAACAAAAAACAAGACTGTGTAGCACTTTAAAGACTAACAAGATGGTTTATTAGCTTTCGTGGGCCAGACCCACTTCCTCAGACCAAACAGTGGAAGAAAATTTTGATCTGAGGAAGTGGGTCTGGCCCACGAACGCTCATCACCTATTAAACCATCTTGTTAGTCTTTAAAGTGCTACACAGTCCTGTATTTTGTTTCAGCTGCACCAGACTAACACGGCTACATTTCTACCACTATTCTGTAACAATATGGTTTTTCTGTAGTCATAAGGGAAGGCTAAAGGCTTCCTCTGCAGTCAGACTGAAGAGCAGCAGCCACTAGTTTGGAGTCACTCACATTCCATCTAAGGTGCATTACACCTGCTGTCACCAGATAAAGAAACAGCTCTCAAGATGGGTAGAGAACTTAGTTGACAGCATTTCCACTGGCAAGAGCTGGGATATCCTAGCAGAGTGTGAAATCCTCATTCTATGATTACTGTCCTCACTTTCCTATTGTTTGTCTGCATGATCTCACTGGTTTAATTGTTTGTCTACAGTACAATTGTGCTAGCTGTAAGTCAATTAAAGCGGTAGGTATGTTAGGATTGGATAGCAAAGTTATACTAAAATAACAGGTTAAAGTCTAGCTAAGAAGGACTCACTTTTCACTATATAAACTGGGGTCCAAGGAGAAGACCAGAGGAAAAAGGAAAGGGAAGACCTGGAAGAACTCACCTCCAAGACACAGCCTAAGGCCAGAGCTGCCACAACTCCTCTGCACAACCCTGCTTGCTGTTCAGCAGCTAAGATCCAGAGAGACTGACCTTGCCTGGCCAACAAGGGAAATCCGCCTGCCTTTATCAGGCTTGGTGAGCATGATGCTGTGTGCTTGGCATGTGTATTCTGCTTGCTTGGCAATTGTCAATAAATAAAGTAGAATATTACTGTGTAAGGCTCTTTCAGTAGCAAAAGATTCTGCAAACATGGAGGAAGTTACACCCTGAGCCCTAGGAATTGGGTATGGGTGGGTGTGTCCCTGAAGTGTGGAAGGGAGAGAAATTTGTGCAGGTAACACCATATGTACAGCTGCAACCACACACTCCCTGCACTCTCCTGAAAGGGCACAGGGGCAAGAAGGAGGGTGGCTAGGGTAGCCCTGGACAGGGGCAGTGGGTACACCCCCAGCCAGCCCCTTTCACCAGCTGCTGATTAATGCAGTCTGTAGGAAAGCCCCAGGGTGCAGCAGCTTCTGGCACCTCATGTCTCAGACAAAGAGGACATTAAGGAGGTCCTGTTGTGTATCTGTGGAGGACAGACTAGCAAAACAGGCCCAGCCTCTGTAAAGTGGACAAAATGGCCACCCTATCTCAGCCAAAACCAAACAGTAAGCAGCTGGGGGACAAAGCATTAATTTTAGCAGCTAAATTAACCTCTGCCAGTTGAGCAATTCCCCAAAATTCTATCCAGTGCAAAAGTGAGATCTAAATAATACTTCTGTGAAGACAGAGCATTAACGATGCAACTGATTTATGAATCCAAACCCAAAATTCATTAAAGACTCAAAACACCACCAGTCAGCCAGTTATTGCAGCTATTCTCCAGCCAGAGCTACTTATGAGTATTTCATCTTTGGAATAGCAGTTCTATTTAGAGCACACCCCAAATCCTGTTCCTATTTGGGTCATTCGGCTTGACTTGTGTACTAGCTTCAGGTACAATCAGCGGGGGAGTAGTGAAAGCGAAGTGAATTCCTTTTGTGATTGCCGTTTTATTGTAAACAACCCTAATGGCTAGATCAGAGGTAAAATCCTGCCAAACATATATTTGTGACTGGTACACATGACAACACGTGGTCATCTTCAGTGACAAACAGATGTGACAAGTGACATTAGTTACATCTTGCTCACTAGTATCTTTCCAGGCCACCACCCACAGCTCAGCTAGGAGTCCAGCTCTCTTCCAGGCAGCCCAAGTCAAGTCTCTCCCACTGACCCCATCCCCTAGTCTCCTCCCAGTCTGCTCACCTTCTCTGCAGCCCCACTAAGCATGGCTGCCCAGGCAGACACCTTGGAGGGAACTATGGTTCCAGTGTGGGATGGCAGGTGACAACTCAGGTGTGTGGTTGGAGGGGCAGTAGACTCTCAGGCTATTTGGGCACCAAGAAGTCTCTCGCGCGCTCTCGCTCTCTCGGCAGAGGTGAGGAACCTTTTTGAACTGGGGGCTGTGAACCACCAAAAACAAAAACAAAAAAACCCACACACCTCTGCAGCCCCCTACTGAAGTGAGAGGCAAAGTGAGAAGCCCCACAACTGAGAAGGAAAAAGGTACTTCTCACATTCCCCTTGCACAACAGAGGCGGGGGGAGGGAGGACCATGGTAATTGATTGTATGCTCCAGCCCTGTGGGTGGGTGTCAGAGGGCTGGAGCACCAGTGCGGGCTCCCCAATATGGGGGATCCCTGAATCTTGGGCTGGATCAAAACAAGCCAGGGCTACATCCAGTCCCTGGGCCTGAGGTTTCCTACCACTGATTTAGGGCCTCAGGCATCTAACTTGCTGAGCTGGGTTGTAAATGCTTTGGCACATAGGATCAAATTCAAAGTTAGCTGGACAATTTGGAGAAGTGGCCTGAGAACTAAGATGATGCTCATTAAGGACAAATGCAAAGTACTGCACTTAGGAACCATCAGGTGCACACATACAAAATGGGAAGTGACTGCCTAGGAAGGAATCCTGCAGAAAGATCTAAATAGGCGTCAGTGTACCACCCTTCCCGGAAGCATTAGCAGCACGTTGTAAGCAAAGCACAAGTAATTCCTCTGCTCTACTCAGTGCTACTGAGTCCAGTTCCGAGTGCCACTTTTGAGGAAAGATTTGCACAAACTGAAGACAGTTCAGCAAAGAACCACCAAAGTTAAAGGTCTAGAAAACGAGCTATGGAGGGAAGGGTTAGTCTTGGGAAGGAGACTGACTAGGGACAGAAGAAAGACGACTGGTTTCTTGTCCTTGCTTCAGCGATTTAAAGGAGAACAGTGGGCTCACGCGGCAGTAAGGGAGATTTAGGTTAGCCATTAGGGAAAAACTCCCTGCCAGGACAGTTAAGTACTGGAATAGTTTATGCAGGGAGGTTGTGGAACCTCAGTCAATTAGAGATTAAGAGCAGGTTAGACAGACACCTGACAGGGATGGTCTGAATACTCAGTCCTGCCTTGAGTGCAGGGGACTGGACTAGAAGACTTCAAGATCTCTTCCAGCCATACAACTCTAGGATTCTGCAATCTTTCCTAAACCTTAAACAGCCTCCCCCCCACAGACCAGGTCACACCACTCAAAGTACCAGACTCTGTCTGAGCTGTTGCAAAGCCTACAGACATAGCTCCACTTTCAGGCTCCTGTAGTTGCCTGTCATGACATGTGGCGTAGACCTCATCCAGTGCACTCAATGCCAGCAACATCCTGAGCTGAAGCACAGGCAATCCCTATACTGTTGAATGAACTTCCACAGTAAAGCAAAGACGCTTTTACCTGCAAGCAAACACCCTTCATAAAAGGATCCCGACATCTGCCCTCAGGCCTGGTCTGCAGGTGACACCTGCACCGCCCCTTCAGAAGACATTCCTGAAAGCTTAAATTCCTAATTGTGCAAGGCACCAAAACATGTACTGGAGACAATAATCCACTAACTGTCCCCCTTCCCCAAGCTGCCCTCCCTCCGATGGAAGGGGCGGGGGTTAAAGAGCCACTTCTCTACAAACGATCTCAACACAGGTTAACTACTTAACTAACGATCTGCTCCACCTTGTAGTTAGCTGCAACTTCTTTGAAAGGAGCAAGAGCCAGCAGGAGGGCTCAGTCAGTGGTTGTTCTCAGGGACTTCAGCACCAGGAGGAATTTGCCTTTTTTCATGCCAGAGGGGCGCAGGGAAGAGATTGCAGCTGCTCAGGATAACCTACCTGGAAAAGGCTGGAGCACAACAGGGGGACCTGCTACACTTCTGATTTTCAAATATATGATTTCAAAAACTGGACCTTTAACTCCAGTCATCTGAAGAAGTGGGTTGTGCCCATGAAAACTTATACCATCTGTGTGTTAATATTGCAGCACCTTGAAAACTATTTGTTAAGTTTTTCCAGTTACAGACTAATTCGGCTACCCCTCTGAATCCCCAGTGGAGACACACAGCCTTGTCAGCTACAGCTAGCTTTGGCCACTTAGGAACAACCCGTTAACCATGCATCCCCTTGCTCCCCTGCCAAGCATACACCTTTGTAAAACCCTAAACAATGTGGGATGCAAAGCAGCTGTACTTCAATGTGTGCCAAGTTAGTTTAGTGAAACACTAGGCCCCCCCGCCACCAAACCTTGAATCCTATTCAAGGAAAACCTGTCTATTCTGGGCTAGTGCCTAGATATGCAAAGGGCAGGGGCTATTTCAGGAGTACTTGGTTTATGACAAGTATCAGAAGGGCTGCTGTGTTGGTCTGTATCTGCATACAAATTGAGTTCTGTGGCACCTTAAAGATTAAACAGATTTATTTGGGCATAAGCTTTTGTGGGCAAAACTCCACTTTGTCAGATGCAACAGAGTTTTTGCCCACAAGAGCTTATGCCCAAATAAATCTGTTTAATCTTTAAGGTGCCACAGGATTCCTTGGTTTATGCCACAGGCTAGAGTCACTTATTCTGAAAGTCAGGGAAGTAATGCTGAATTGTTTTATTCCACATTAGCTATGCCAGACAGTTTCCATGTGTAGACACAGTATACTAGTGACTGGCAAAGCTAAAGGCAGCATGGCATATGGTTTCATGTTCCAAGGCCATGTGTCTAACATGCTAGCCAATAGCCACATGTGGCTATTTGGCCAGTTGGGTGTGGCTAATTTGCTATATCAGTAACCACTGTAGTGGCTCTTGCGTCACAACTGGTTGGACGCTGCGGCTCTAAGGCTTGGTCTACATCTAAAACTTAGATCAGTCTTTGGAGTGTGACAATTCACATACACACACCCATCCATCCAAGAGATGTAGTTAAGCCAGCCTAAATCCTGGTGGCATTGACAGCACTGGAAGATGACCCACCTAGGGCAGTGGAAGATATCAAGGAGGTGGATTAAATACAGCGGCTAAAAAATAAATAAATCCACTTTCCATTGTTGCAGCAAGTACCTACACTTCAGCACTTTAACCATAGCCCCAGGCGAGTCCACATGGCAATACCACCACAAACAGCTTCCTCAGACACTCACCTGCTTCCCAGTCCTCTTGGCAGGGGGGGCCCTGCCAGGATCTTGGGGTCTCTTTCCAGTCCTTCTTGGGGCTGAAAGTCATTGCTGTCCCTGCAAGCAAAGGAGACATGTTATGGGATTTGGAAGGAAGAGAAGCAAAGTAGCTGGTCTAGGAGTGACAGTCCTTGGCACAGATCATGGCTCAGTTCTGTTAGCCAGGTCACACTGAACTGGAGATGCTCCCTAGTAGGGAAGAGTCTCCGAATACTCCAAGGAGCCAGGTTCACGTCACACTTAGTATGTCCAGAGTCTCTGCTCTCCTGCTGTGGTTCCAGTTTGCTAGCCAGCTGGACAGCCTGTGTTCCCCAGGATGTCTGGTTGGCAGCGGGTATCAAGCAGAGTGCCCCAAGGGCCAGTTTTGTGTTCCCCAGGATGTCTGGTTGGCAGTGGGTATCAGAGTGCCCCAAGGGCCAGTTTTGCGGCCACTTTTGTTCAACATCTTTATTAATGACTGGATGAGGGGATGGATTGCACTCAGAACGAGTTCTGATTACACCGCGCTGGGGGAGAGGTAGATATGCTGGACAGTAGGGAAATTGGGCCAATGGAAATCGGATTAGTTTCAATAAGTGCAAAGTCTTATACTTGGAACAGAAGAATCCCAAGCACTGGGATAGGCTGGGGACTGACTAAGTAGCAGTTGGGCAGGAAAGGACCTGGGGATGACAGTGGATGAAATTGGATATGAATCAGTGCTCCCTTCTAGTCAAGAAGGCTAATGGCATATTGGGCTGCATTAGTAGGGGCACTCCCAGCAGATTTAAGGAGTAATTATTCCCCTTTATTCAGTGCTGGTGAGTCCCCATCAGGAGTATTGTGTCCAGTTCTGGGGCCCCCCCATTACAGAAAGCACATGGACACATTGAAGAAAGTCCAGTGGAGGGGCAATAAAAATGATTAGGGGGCTGGGGCACATGACTTACTAGGAGAGGCTGAGGGATTTGGGCTGATTTAGTCTGCAGAAGAGTGAGGGGGGATTTGGTAGCAGCCTTCAACTACCTGAAGGGGGTCCCAAAGAGGATGGAGAGAGGCTGTTCAGAGGCGACCGATGGCAGAACAAGGAGCCATGGTCTCAAGTTACAGTGGGGGAGGTCTAGGTTAGTTTTTCCTAATATCCATTTCCCTAGGAGGGTGGGGAAGCACTGGGAGGGGCTCCCTAAGGAGGTGGTAAAATCTCCATCCCTAGAGGTGTAAGTCTCAGCTTGACAAAGCCCTGGCTGGGTTGTTTGAATTGGGGTTGGTCCTGTTTTGGGCAGGGGTTTGGACTGTATGACCTCCTGAGGTCTCTTCCAGCCCTAGGATTCTAGGACTAAAGTTTTCCAAGTTGCAGTGTCAGAGCCTCAAAACCCTTTTCCTGACATTCATGGAGATCAGTGCTTTCCTGACGGACACGCTCCATTTAAGTTCCTTTTTGTCTCACCTCAGTACCTAGGC